AGCCCTTGTCTAAAAGAGCAACTAACATATACAAGATCTAGTCCTAGAACTCCACAAAATGGCAAGGGAACTACTGGAATGCTCTCTGGGAAGGAAGGAGTGATGGACATGGTCTATGCTCCCCTTCCAACTTAAAAGCACAGACCAGTGCACCATCTTGGTGCCCTAACTGGCCTGCCACCTCAGTAAGCCCTAGGTCCCTAGCCCACACTAGCCCCAGTGATCCCACCAAGGTGGCCACAGGATGGTGCACACCAAGACACCTCTGGTTAGCATTCAGTATAGTTCCTGCCTTTGTACCTGACACAGGTGTAAAGCATCCCAAAACATTCCTTGCCTATACCCCTTTGGCTTCAGGTGACTTGCTAGAGTATCCCAGTACTAAATGCTCTTGTACCTTCCAGGCTGATGTTTGCTTCAGATCCAGCTACCCCACCAGGGTGCACCCGATGTAGAACACCCCAGAACCACAGAGCCACAGCTTCAGTCATGCAGAGAGGGCACCCACTATACTGAGCACCCTGGGAGACCCTGGTTTGCACCCACTTCAGCTTCAGCTGTCTTGCTAGGACACATTTACACAGAGAACCCAGAGACAACACTGGCCCATGCCCACTTTAGATTTAGGTGTCTTGCCAGGATGACCCCTGCACAGAGTGCCTCAGGACCTCCTGGTCTGTAACCCACCTTGGCTCCAGTCACCCCTTTAGGTTACCTTCTGTGTGGAGAGTCTTGGAACACCCCAGTTTATACCCACTTCAGCTTTAGCTATCCTGCCGAGATTCCTTCTGTGTGTAGAGCCCTGGGACACTTCAGCTTGCACCTATTTCAGTTTCAGTTATCCTTCTAGGGAGAGCCAGGGACCTCCTGGCTCACACATTACCTCAGCGCCAGCTACCCCACTAGGAGTCTCCCTCCATAGAGTACCCTGGGGTACCACGGCTTGTACCCACCTCAGCTTCAGCTGTCCTGCCAGGGTGCCCTCAGCACATAGAACCCCAGGACAGACCAGCCTGTATCCACTTCAGCTTTAGCTGTCATGCCAAGGTGTTCACTTTGTGAAAAGCCACAGGATCCCCCAGCTTGTACCCACGTTAGCTTCAGGTGTCCTGCAAGGGTGCTCTCTGTGTGGAGAGACCCAGAACTTCCCAATCCACACACCACTTTAGCTCCAGCTACTCTGCTAGGGCATCCCTATCAGGGAGCACTCCAAGATCCCCCAGCTTGCACTTAGTTCAGCTTTAGCTGCCCTACTGGTACCCTTAGAATGAAGAACCACAGGACCTCCTAACCTGCACCCACTTTAATTTTAACTGTCCTGCCAGGGTGCCTTCTGTATGGAAAACACTGAGGCCTCCAAACCCACTCCTTGCCTTAGCTCCAGCTGCCCTGCCAGGGTACTCTCTCCATTATAGTGTCTGGATAACCCAGCTTACATCCACTTCAGCTTTAACTGTCCTGTCAGGCCACCTAACGTGTGAAGAGCCCAGAAACCACATCAACCTATGATCATTTAAGTCTTAGCTCTCCTTCCAGTGTACCCACTGTGTGGAAAGCCCCAGGATACCCAGCTCATGCCAGACACAACTCCAGCCAGCAAAAGTCACTAAGCACACAGAGTCTACCTAGGGGATGACCATACACAAAACCATTCATTCAAGTTTAGGAGAAGTAGCCATTCCACCTAACCCATAGAAACAAACACAGAAAGTCAAACAAAATGAGGAGACAAAGGAGTATGCACCAAGAAAAGGAAAATATCTCTAAAAAATGTAAATGAAATAGAGATAATATGCCTGGTAAAATATTTGAAGTGATGATTGTAATTATGCTCACAAGGCTGGAGAAAAGACAGGAACTCAGTGAGATATTCAATAGAGAGATAGGGAATATATTGGTAGTGATTCTATACACTAATAATAAAGTAGCAGAAAATGAAATTAAGAAAATAATTTTCTTTACAGTTGCACCAAAAGGAATAAAATACCTAGGAATAAACTTCATCAAGAAGGTGAAAGACTTGTATTCTTAAAACTATAAAACATTAATGGAAGGAACTGAAGACAGTACAAACAAATGGAAAGATATTCATTTTTTGAATTATGGATTCAAAATTATGATTGGAAGAATATTGTTAAAATGTCAATACTACCCAAAGCAATCTACAGATTCAAAGAACTCCCTATTAAATACCAACAACAGTTTTCACAGAACTAGCTCAAGTAATACTGAAATTTGTATGGGGACACAAAAGACCTTGAACCACCAGAGCAATCTTGGGAAAGAACAAAGCTGGAGGTATCACAATTTCAGGTTTCAAGATATACCACTAATCAAAACAAAAATAGACATTTAGATCAATAGAACTGAATAGAGAGTTGAGAAATAAATCTGCACATATATGGTTAATCTATGACAAAGGACATAAGACCATACAATATGGTAAAGATAGTCTCTTCAACAAATGGTGCTGGGAAAACTGTAGTGCTACATGCAAAATAATGAAACTGGATCACTTTGTAGCACCATACACAAAATTAATCTCCAAATGTATTAAAGACCTAAATGTGAGACCTTAAACCATGAAAATCATAGAAAATAATACAGGTAGTGATTTATTTGACATTAGCCATAGTAACAATTTTTTAAATGTGTCTCCTAGGGCAAGGTAAACAAAAGCAAAAATAAAGTATAGAAACTACATCAAAATAAAAATATTTTGTATTGTGAAGGAAACCATCAACAAAACAAAAAAGCAACCTATGAAATGAGAGAAGATATTTGTGAATGATATATCCAATAAGGAGGTAATATCCAAGATATATAAAGAACATACACAACTCAACACCAAGAAAACAAACAACCTGATTAAAAAATGGGCAGAGGACTTGAATAGACATTTTTTTCTAAAGAATACATATAGATGGCTAACAGAAACATGAAAAGATGCTCAACATCACAGATTATCATGGAAATGCAAATGAAAACCACATTGAGACATCACATTACATCTGTCAGAATGGCAAAAAAAAAAAAAAGAAAAGAAAAAGAAAGAAACAGAAATAACAAGTGTTGGTGAGATGTGGAGAAAAAGTAATCCTCATGGACTATTGGTAGGAATGTAAATGGGTACAACCACTGTGAAAAACAGTATGGAGTTTCCTCAAAAAATTACAAATAGAAATACCATATGATCCAGTAACTTCACTAATGGGTATATACCCAACAAACATGAAAACACTAATTCAAAAAGATATATGCACACCTATGTTTATTTTAGTGTTATTTACAATAGCCAAGATATGGCAGCAGCCTAAGTGTCCTTCAGTAGACAAATGGATACCATAAAAAAGAATAAGATCTTGTCACTTGCAACATTGATGGACATAGATGGTATTATGTTAAGCAAAGTAAGACTGAGAAAGATAAGTACCACATGATTTCACTCATATGTGGACTCTAAAAACAAAACAAATGAATAAACAAACAAAAAGCAGAATCAGGCCTATAAATACAGAAAACAAACTGATGGTTAGCAGAGGTAAGGGGTGATGCAAAAGGAGTAAGGGGGAGTCGGAATGCAGACTTCCAGTTATGAAATAAATAAGTCATGGAATAAAAAGCACCATATAGGGAATGTAATCAATGATATTGTAATAGTATTGCATGATAACAGTTGGTAACTGCACTTATGGTGAACATAACATATAGAGAAATTGAAGCACTATATTGTACACCCAAAACTAATGTAACATTGTGTGTCCACTGTACTCAAATTAAAAAAAAAAAAGTTTAAAAATAAATCTGTATTTTAACCTAAGGACAATAAGCAGCAATTGAAATGTTAAATATGTATGTAGATATTTAACATTTAACATATTTAAATATTAACATATTTTATATTTAACATATACACATATACATATATATTACAACGATTTCCTGTTATTTTTGTGTCCCTCCCAAATTCATATGTTGAAATTCATGTGTTGAAATCATCCCAAAGATGATAGTATTAGAGCTAAGTCTTTGGAAGGGGCTTAGGTCATAAAGGTAGAGCCCTCATGAATGGGGTGAATGCCTTTATAAAAGATGTTCCAGGGAGGTCTAGTCTCTTTCATCATATAAGATACAAAGTGCTGGCTATGAACCAAGAAGGGAGCCCTCATAATAATGTGATCAAGTTGGTGTCTTGATGTTGGACTTCCAGGCTCCAGAACCGTGAAAAATAAATTTGTTGTTTAAGCCCTTCAAAAAACAAAACAAAACAAACAAAAAAGTATTCTCTAAAACTATACCGCAACTAACAGCAGAAAATTACCATGTAGAATTTTCCTATCTCTACTACATAATTTTCACTAGTACACCAAATAAGAGTGCACCCTTATCTGTAACATGTTTATGAATTCACTGTATTTTGACTCTCATGCTTACTCCCTGCATAAATTAGCTACTCCTTAGGATTGTCAATAAACTATAAAAAGAAAACAAAGTTGATATTTTCACAAAAAACTACAACATTAAAATGATGCCAGTGCTGTTATAGTCATCTTTTATAGAGCCTTTCTTTTCCATTATTCATTCTAATCAACAAGGAAAGTTAGAGAGAGGGAGAAAGATTAGTGATTTGGTATCTGCCGCAGTCCTAGGACCAAAAAATCTGGTTAGAAAAGCCAAAGCAAGGCTTCTGAAGATGTGTTAGCACTGTTTCTAGTCTCAGGTGTGTTGGTCTGATTGTCTAAAGCCTTTAAACCTAGAAGGAAGTAGAAGTAGAGAAGATACCTCTACTTTAGTGTTAATCATGATGACAAGTCCATTCGGAAACATTGAAATATCTAGCAGAATCGAGTCCCAATAGCTAGTGATGGTTCTCCTAAAACTCCTAGAAAGAAAAATGTCTCTATAAAAGGTAAAACTATGAATTAGTTGGGGGAACATAAATGGATCTACCACTGTAGACACGGGACTGACTACTTGAATTTTTTTAGGGACATCAGATATCATGGATTGGGCTCTTGATTCTTCTGTAGCTCCAGTTCCACAGCTTTTTGCACAGCTACATCAACCAGCAGCTGGAAGCTGCTGAAGTCCTTGTACTCCTCTGTTAACACAGGTTTGGGAGATGTCATAAGCAAGGGTTCACTAGTGGAAAACTTGACCTTTTTTCTTGGCTGGGCCTTTGGGGTGAGCTTCTGGCCTGGAGACAACTCTGAATCTAGCAGCTTCTCTCCTGACTTCTGGCTCATTGGAAGGAGGCTCAAGGGAAGGCACTGCATTTTGTCTGGATCTCTGGGCCCTGACCTGGCCTGTATAGGTGGATCTGTGCTCTGCTCATGGGTCACATCAGCAGCCTTGCCTTTTTGGTGGTACACAGTGATCTGGTTGGGGTCATTTCCAACCTGTTGAAGCATTTCTGGAAGAACACGTCTGCGGGCATTGATAAACCAGTTAGAGATCTGCAGAAAAGACAAATTAGTCTGCTCGGACAGCATTCGCTTCTCTGCTTCTGAAGGGTAGGCCCTAAACCGGTGTTCATACAGCCAGTCTCGGAGGATCTTCACTGACTCAGTTGGCAAGTACCCTTTCCTCTTCCTCTTACCTTCTAGTGAGGCAAGAACTTTATCTGCACCAGTGTCACTATTCAACATGACTGAGGTGCCTTGAGCCAGGCTTTGGTTCTCTGCTGGGCTTTCTTCAGTGGCTTCCATGTTCATGAAGCCTGTCTTCACTATTTTGGGAATCAGAAATGGCTGAGTTAGGACTTATGTGGAACTGGTGAAGAAGACATGGGCCAGTCTCTAAGGAAGAGTCTCACCTCTTTCTTCCCAAGCAGATAAACAGTGCTGGTAACTGCTTTGAGCCAGTGGGCTTTGTGATGTCACATCCTTTCTGCCCTGTGTGCTGCCCCTCCCCCGCATTTCCTGGTTCCTCCTTTACTTGCTTTTTTCTCATAGATTCAAATGCACTTGTTTTTACCCCATCAATTTAAAGCTCTCCAGATTTTCTCTGCTGCTATCACCAGTTTCTGCTAACTAATGATCTCAAATTCTATTGGTTAAATCTGGCTTTGCATAAGCCTCATTTTCTTCCTTTATGACTTTACTCTGATATTGTTCTTCCTTCTTTTTCCTTATAATTGCATCATTGGCTCATCTACATATATTAAAAGTAACTTATCTATTAAATATTAACCTCAATAAAAGGAGAGTTTAAGTGGTGTATCCTGACTCATCCCTTCCCTATTTAAAGCTAGACAGTTATTTTTGACACTATCCCTTCGATTTTTCTTTATGGCCTTGAAATGTTCAGCTGTGACATGACTTCACTATGCCACTGGGATCTTTATGTCTGTAACTTCGGGCTCTGACATCCAGTTATGATCATTCTCTTTGAGGCTTCGGTCAGAATTCAGGGGTCTTTTAAAAACATGGAACAAGACAGGACTCAAGAAATAATGATCACAGACTTAAATTATTTAAATCTTTCTTGATAGTTTAAGTACATAGAAATTACCCTGGAATCAGATGAAAATAATTTGTAAATTGTACATTTTAATTTCAGATAACTGAAAATAAGAGTTGATTCTTTCAAGAACACAATGATCCACTTAGAAGACAATCATGGACTCTTCTTAAGGATACTGTATAGTATTACTGATTGTTAATTTCAGAGGTTTTTCTGGAGAAAACTCCAGGTCATCATCTTAAGCATCATATATTATCTACAGTTTCTATCTGGAAGAACAATATCATTTTACCCTTAAGAATTCTTAACTGGTGTCACTGGGCTGGACATCAGAATATTATCTACTGATCCTTTGGCTGTTGGTAACCTTATCAGTGCTGACTTTCATAGCTTAAAACTTATTGTAAGGGGGACTGATTGAAATAAACAATCAAATCTAATGGTCATTTTAGCAAAGCTCCCAACAACCAGAGAGTGCATAGGTTGACTAAAATCAGAGGTCTCCTTTGGAATACTCTGTGAGTGCTACTATTTCTATCAGTCTTTTGGGTGACTAGAACACAAAAGATAATGTTTTCTATTCATAGTGAAAACTCATTTCTTCTTATTATTTCCCACCAATACATGCATGGTTCATGCTCACTGAAACTACTCTTGTCTGTCAATAATTTTCTAGTAATGTATCCTCCATCATTTGTTGCTTCTATATTCTCTTTGTATTTCTGGGATTCAGATCTCTGCTGAAGGATTGATAGAATTGTACATATTTAAATCATTGATTTATTCTAAATGACATGAGCTAGGTTCTTAATTTTTAATGACTCCTTTATTAATCTTCTTTGAAAAGGAATATCATGGTGGTTCAAAATTATCACCGAGTAATTGGGAGATTTTTTTTTCCCTTTAATACCAGCTATAGGGACATAGAAAAATTTGGCAAGTAGGTGAAAATTTAGTAAGAAACCCTTTAGTATTGATCCCAAAAAACATGGTTTCATTTCATGATGTAACAATAGAAACACTATATAAAACCTGTATTCCTTTTAAGCTTTTTTTTTAAAGATTTTATTTATTTATTTGACAGAGAGAGACACAGCGAGAGAGGGAACACAAGCAGGGGGGGCGGGAGAGGGAGAAGCAGGCTTCCTGACAAGCAGGGAGCCCGATGCGGGGCTCGATCCCAGGACCCTGGGATCATGACCTGAACTAAAGGCAGATGCTTAACCGGCTAATCCACCCAGGTGACCCCCTTACTTTAAGTTTTTGATGATGCAAAATATGAATTAAAAAGATACTTAAGACAGTGATGTGTTCCTTCCATCCACTTTTTAAAAATTTCTAGAAAGCTCAAATATTTAAAAGGTTTCTATCAGATTTTTTCTCCCTTCATTGATTCTCCTAACATAAAATATCATGGGATCTTCTTTAGAATAGTGTTGTATATTTATAAGCATTGATTTATTTACATATGATTCTGAAAAGAGTCTTCTCATGATTATATAATGAGTGAACACAGTATTATACTGTAATATGCACATTAATTTTCAAATTATGTAAAGCGTGACAAAACTAAAGTCTTTTATACCTTGCTGCTTATCATTTCTATTAATCTACTCATAATTGAATATCAATCTGAGTATTCTACTTTCCAAATTATGTTAGTCTATCTGTAGAGTTAAAAAAAAGAAAAACTTAAATTTTGACTTCCAAGAAATGAAATAATGTGAAAGAAAATTGAAAACAACACTAACAAAAAGCCAAAAACTAAAACAAAAACAAAACAAAACAAAACAAACAAAACAAAACAAAAACATTTCCTCATACAAAACACAGTGACTTAATAGAAGCAAAAATTGATGCTTTGGTAATGGGGCTTGGTCAAGTCTGAAAATAGAGAATATTAAGTGCATAGAGTTTATCATACTGTAAAGTATCTGGATAATTTCTGCCAGACACTTTACACTTTGAAATGAATTGAAGGAACATTCAGAAAGTCATTAAAAAACTCCCCAAATTGAAGGAGTGGTGAGAAGTTAGGAAGAGAAAATGTAGAAAGTTCTGGTAAATTCAACTAATACTTTCTTTCTTTTTTTTTTTTTAAGAGTTTATTTATTTGAGAGAGAGAATGAGATAGAGAGCATGAAACGGGGGAGGGTCAGAGGGAGAAGCAGACTCCCTGCTGAGCAGGGAGCCCGATGCGAGACTCGATCCCAGGACTCCAGGATCATGACCTGAGCCGAAGGCAGTCGCTTAACCAACTGAGCCACCCAGGTGCCCACAACTAATACTTTCTTAACCTAACTCAGGTTCATAAGGAGATAAAATCACCAATACCCCAATTCATATTTAATAGTAAAAAATGAGTCTTTCTATTTCATGAGCCAGGTAAAGTTGTCTATATTCACTACTGTAACATTGTTTAGACTTTGGAGCCAATGGAATTAATAAAAACATATAAATGCATATAAGAAAATGAGGTAAAATACTATGATTTCTTGATGACATGATTAGCCATTTAGGAAATATTTAAAAATCAATTGAGAAATTATTAGAAATAATAAGAGTTAGGTGATGTAGCCAGTTACAAAAAAATACATGATAAACTTTAACATACACTTATAATTGTTATTTAGAAAATATATTGGGGAAATTATTTAGTTCATAATCATAAAAATAAAAATATAGAATGTCTAGGCATAAAATTAGAAAGTATTATGCAAGGATTATACTGAAAGAAATTTTAAATTCTATTTAAGAACATAAAATGAGATGTTAATAAATGGCAAAATCATTTGTTTCTTGGATAGGAAACCTCAATATTGTAATGATGTCAATTTTCTTTAAATATTTCTTTGTGTCTTTTTTCTATCAAAATATAAGTATTGTCAACCTCCTTTAACTTCTTACTTTGCAAAACCTGTTGAAAAATACTTCTAATGGCTAATGATGATGAACATTTTTTCATGTGTTTGTTAATCATTTGTATGTCTTCTTTGGAGAAGTGTCTGTTCATGTCTTCTGCCCATTTTTTGACTTGATTATTTCTTTTTTGGGTGTTGAGTTTGAGAAGTTCTTTATAGATCTTGGAAATCAGCACATTGTCTGTAATGTCATTTGCAAATATCTTTTCCCATTCTGTGGGTTGCCTCTTTGTTTTGTTGACTGTTTCCTTTGCTGTGCAGAAGCTTTTTATCTTGATGAAGTCCCAAAAGTTCATTTTTGCTTTTGCTTCACTAGCCTTTGGAGATGTGTCTTGAAAGAAGTTGCTGTGGCTGATATCAAAGAGGTTACTGCCTATGTTCTCCTCTAGGATTTTGATGGATTCCTGTGTCACATTGAGGTCTTTCACCCATTTTGAGTTTATCTTTGTGTATGGTTTTAGAGAATGGTCGAGTTTCATTCTTCTGTCTAATTTTCCCAGCACCATTTATTAAAGAGACTGTCTTTTTTTCCAATGCATGTGTTTTCCTGCTTTGTAAAAGATTAGTTGAACAAAGAGATGAGGGTCCATATCTGGGCATGCTATTCTGTTCCATTGGTCTATGTCTGTTTTTGTGCCAGTACCATGCTGTCTTGGTGATCACAGCTTTGTAATATAGCTTGAAATCAGGCAACGTGATGCCCCCAGCTTTATTTTTCTTTTTCAACATTTCCTTGGCGATTTGGGGTCTTTTCTGATTCCATACAAATTTTAGGATTGTTTGTTCCAGCACTTTGAAAAATGTCATTGGAATTTTGATCAGGATGGCACTGAAGGTATAGATTGCTCTGGGTAGCATAGACACTTTAACAATGTTTATTCTTTCAATCCATGAGCATAGAATGTTTTTCCATCTTTTTGTGTCTTCTTCAATTTCTTTCATGAGTGTTCTGTAGTTCCTAGAGTATAGATCCTTTACCTCTTTGGTTAGGTCTATTCCGAGATATCTTATGGTTTTTGGTATTATTGTAAATGGAATCGTTTCTCTAATTTCTCTTTCTACAGTTGCATTGTTAGTGTATAAGAAAGCAACTGATTTCTGTGCATTGATTTTGTAGCCTGCCACATTACTGAATTGCTGGATGAGTTCTAGGAATTTGGGGATGGAGTCTTTTGGATTTTCCACATAAAGTATCATGTCAGCTGCAAAGAGAGTTTGACTTCTTTGCCAATTTGAATATCTTTTATTTCTTTTTGTTGTCTGATTGCTGTTGCTAGGACTTCTAGTACTATGTTGAACAATAGTGGTGAGAGTGGGCATTCTTGATGTGTTCCTGACCTTAAGGGAAAGGCTCTCATCTTTTCCCCATTGAGGAAGATATTCACTGTGGGTTTTCATAGATGGATTTTATGAACTTGAGGAATGTTCTCTCTATCCCTATACTCTGAAGAGTTTACTCAGGAAAGGATGTTGTATTTTGTCAAATGCTTTTTCTGCATCAATTGAGAGGACCATATGGTTCTTCTCTCTCCTCTTATTAATGTGTTCTATCACATTGATTGATTTGCGAATGTATCACCACCCTTGCATCATGGGGATAAATCCCACTTGGTCGTAGTGGATGATCGGGGATCAAGAAAGACTACACACACTTAAATGTTATATTCCCAAATAGGTATGAAGAATGAAGCATTACAGAGCCTAAGAGCATGAAACCCCTTAGTCTCCCAACACTTTATTTAACATCAGGAAGAGAGGTCTGCACAGTGGGACTAAGAATTCTTTGTAACATTTTATTCCTATCAACAAAGGTGAAAAGGGGTTTTGGATATTACTGTGACTCTTGACTGACTCAGGAATCCTCAAGTGCATCAATAAGAACATGCACATGTGGAGTAAAATTGCCTATTTCTCAACATTGTTCAAAATTTGGCTAGTGAAAGGGGGCTAATACCACTTCTGTCCTAGGATTCTACTCCAGTCATCAGGGTAAAGAGAAAACGCTAAGAAAACTACCCCTCCCAAATATCCAACATAATCTTACCATTATTATCTGCTTTGAATATTTGGAATTAATTTTATTATGCCATCCATCCTTGTATACACAAGCAACTACAATAAACTGGTAAAATCTGAATAAAGTCTGTACTTCAGTTACTAGCATTATGCAAAATCAGTGTCCTCATTTTGATAATGTGCTATTATTTCTAAGATGTTATCACTAGGGAAAACTGAGTTAAAAGCACACAGGCACTATGCACAACTTTGAAAATTTCTTTAAGCCCTAAGTTATTTAAAAAATAAAGAAAAAGTGAGGAGTTTTCCAAAATAATTGTACCATTTAACATTTCTGTCAGCAGTTTTTGATAGATCCATTTGCTCTATATCCTTGCCACCACATGGAATGGCCAGTTTCTTTGACTTTCATTATTTTATGGAGTATGAAATGGTATCTAATTTTTTAAAAAAAATATGTATTTACTTTCTGAGTAATGATGTAAACAAGGGTTGCCAAATATTTTCTGTAAATACTCAAATAGTACATATTTTTGGCTTTGGGAGTCAGAAGGCCTCTTGGGCAATACTCAGCTCTGATTGTAGTGCAAAACAGCCATCATTAATAAGTAAACAAATAAATATTTCCATGTACCAATATAACCTTATTTATGAAAATAACTTTTTTTTGGCCCAAGAGCCATAGTTTGCTGTCCTTAGAAGTAGAGCATTGTTGGGCACCTGGGTGGCTCAGTCGTTAAGCGTCTGCCTTCGGCTCAGGTCATGATCCCAGCGTCCTGGGATTGAGTCCCACATTGGGCTCTCTGCTCGGTGGGAAGCCTGTTTCTCCCTCTCCCACTCCCCCTGCTTGTGTTCCTGCTCTCTCTATCTCTCTCTCTGTCAAATAAATAAATAAAATCTTAAAAAAAAAGAAGTAGAGCATTGTTTATTGTCCTTTGTTATAATGTATATATATTTTAAATGTTTCTGTTCAAATATTTCATATACTCAAAAAATTATATCTTTACTATTGAGTTTTTAAAGATTTTTATTTATTTATTTGTCAGAGAGAGAGAGAGAGCACAAGTGGGGGGAGCAGCAGAGGGAGAGGGAGAAGCAGGCTCCCCACCGAGCAGGGAGCCCGATGTGGGACTCGATCCTAGGACCCTGGGATCATGACCTGAGCTGAAGGCAGACGCTTAATGACTGAGCCGCCCAGGAGTCCCTACTATTGAGTTTTTAATATGTTTTTATTTAATTAAAATGCAAGTAGTTTAGAAGATATCTGATGTGCAAATCATTTGTTAAATATATTTTTGAAAATATTTGACACAATATTGTGTTTATGTTGTATTTACATAACATTGTCCTTTTAACTGCAAAAGTGTTCAATTTTTATGAAACTTAATTTGTTGATTTTGCTTTTTATTTACTTCATGTTTTATGTGTGCCACTTAAGAAACTTTTGCCTATGGACCCCTGGGTGGCCCAGTTGGTTTAGTGTCTGACTCTTGATTTCAGCTCAGGTCATGATCTCAGTGTTGTGAGATTGAGCCCCGAGTTGGACTCCCACTGGGCATGGAGCCTGTAAGAGTCTCTCTCTTCCTCTCCCTCTGTCCCTCCCCCATCTCCTTTTCTCTCTCTTTCTCTCTCTCTCCCTCTCAAAAAAGAAGGAAGAAACTTTTGCTTAGGTTTACATTTTTAGGTATAGAATTTAGGTACATTTATCATTTAGAGTTATTTTTTGGTGCATGGTACATAATAATGTTGACATAACATTATTTATTATGGTGATTTGTAATCAGTGACCTTCAATGTTACTATTGTAATTGTTTCAGGGTGCCACCAACTGTGCCCATATAATGGTGAACTTAATTGATAAATGTATGTTTTCTGACTACTCCACTGACTGGCTGTTCCCTGATCTCCCTCTCCTTGGGATTTCCTGTTCTCTCAGACACAACAGTATTGAAATTTGGACAATTAATAACCCTATAATGTCTTCTAAATGTTCAAATGAACATTTCACTTAGATGATTAAGCTTAATGAAGAAGGCATGTCAAAAGCTGAGATGGGCTTCAAGCTAGACCTCCAATGCCAGTTAGCAAAGTTATGAGTGCACAGAATAATTTTTTAAAGAAAATTAATAGTGCTACTCCAGTGAACACACGAAAGATAAGAAAGCAAAACAGACTTATTGCTTACATGGAGAGAGTTTTAGTGGTCTGCCTAGAAGACCAAACCAACCACAACATTCTATTCAGCCAAAGCCTAATCCAGAGCAAAACCCTCTCTTCAATTTGATGAAGGCTGAGAGAGATGTGGAAGAAAAGTTTGAAGTTAGCAGCAGTTGGTTCATGAAGTTTAAGGAGAGAAGCCAACTCGATAACTTAGAAAGTGCAAGGTAAGGGTCTTCCAGTTATGAAAAAATAAAGTGCAAGTTGAAGCAGCAAGTGCTGATGTAGAGTCTGTGGCAAGTTGTCTAGAAAATCTAACTAAGATAATTAAGGTAGCCATACTAAGGGTGCCTGAGTGGCTCAGTCGCTTAAGCATCTGACTCTTGCTTTCAGCTCAGGTCATGCCCTGCACTGGACTCTGTGCTCAGCAGGGAGTCTGCTTGAGATTCTCTCTCTCCCTCTCCCTCTGCCCCTCTACCCTGTTCTCTTTCTCTCTCTCTCTCAAATAAATAAAAAAAATAAATATTTTTTTTCTTAAAAAGTTGGCTACACTATTTTTAATGTTGATGAAGCAGGTTTCTGTTGGAAGAAGATGACATCTAAGATTCATAGCTAGAGGGAGCCTGGGTGGCTCAGTCGTTAAGCGTCTGCCTTTGGCTCAGGTCATGATCCCAGGGTCCTGGGATCAAGCCCGCCATAGGGATCTCTGCTCAATGGGAAGCCTGCTTCTCCCTCTCCCATTCCCCCTGCTTGTGTTCCTGTTCTCGCTATCTCTTTCTCTGTCAAATAAATAAATAAATAAAATCTTTTAAAAAATAACCTTTTTCCCCCACAGGATGAGGCCATATACAATCAACAAATTTGCTTAGTAATATCAATTTCAATGTATTAAATTTATATAATATGATTTTTGTGCCTTTGTACAAATCCCAAAGAAACCTTAATAAAATTTTAAGAAAGAAATGTGCAGACTCCCCCCAAAATGAACAAAATTAAATTACAAATTCATTCTACATGTTCTGAAATACATCTAAAAACATTAGTGGTAACACATTCAGCTGCTAGTCACAATGTCAGTTGTGAAATACTACAACTTCAAACAATAGGATTGTTTTGTATCTGTTGATGTCCAAAAATGCCTGTGAAATAATAAGACTAAAATTAGGATTTATATATGTCCTTTAATAATATTACTTTGAATCTGAAGGCAATATATAATACATAAAATATTCTTAATTAAAAAAAAAGTTTATATTTGCCTATACATCTCCCAACTTCTTTTAATGTCTGCTGCATTGTAAAAAAAGTAATAGTCACCAAAGAAATTATAATTAGCTCTCTTTAATGGAAAACAATATAAATTTAATTTATACAAAGGAACATTTTTTTTTCGTATGGGCACATATTTAACACTAACCCATCTCTAAGACAATATATTTCTTCTAAAATCATATTTGGTAAGTTGTGTAACTTGCCTTTGTTTGTTTATTTTTTATATCCTCAAAGCTATTTCTATAGTTCTCATGAAAAGCTTCCCAATGTTTTGTTTGGCAAAATTTTCATTTTGAAAGATTACATTTATGACTTGTGGTCAATCTTCCCTTTAATTTCTCCTTAGGATTTTAAAAGTTGGGTTTGAGCAAATTTGGCAGTGTTTTTTCTGAACCTCTGCTGAGGCAAGACATAGTGTAAAGTTTAAATATTTTTTTTTCCTCTGTATAAAGTCAATCTAAGGTTAGTGAGATAAAAATACT